GTAGCTTTTCGAAAACGCGAATAATGACAGTCCTGAAATGATAAATACATTTATACTGATCTGTTCTTAATGCCAAGTTCTTGCACTTGCAAATGGAGTAAATCATTATTTCTTCCATGCGACAGCGTTTATGAAGACCCCCATTGATACGAGAACGTGGAGGCTGCGACCTGGTACTTCAGAGGGTTAGGAATAAAGAAAAGACAACGTAAATGCGTTTCAGGTATAAAGTTGAATGCCGTTTCATTCATTTTTGACTCCGGTTCACAGATCACTAGAACGTGCGGTTCATACGATATTCGCACTTTGTTGCATGTTCGAATTAGTTTAACTCCAATAATTTGTCATATTTCCGCTCATTTTCACTCACAGCTCGAATCTTGAATATAAATAATACCACAAGAAATATAAAATATCTTACTTTATAAACAGTTTCTTGACACTTGTCAGGGGAAATGTCAGTGATCATTAGATGAACAATAAGATGTGCATGATAGATTGTCACTGAGAGAATACTTGAGGTTATGGTATCACTTTGAAGACGATTTCCATGACTGCAAGTTCGTCTTCCAACGAACAAATAATAACACCGGTTGCAGTTCGTCATGATGCTTATAGGAAACCTTGGGACTGAAGTTTGTTTTCTGAAAATATCCCTCTTTACGTAGTATCAATCAAAATAGATATATCTCATTCCTTTTCCATTAAGACTGGCCTTCACTTTTGACATGATATGGAACCAATTATTAACAATATGGGAACTTACGCCACTAGCCCGCTAGTGAGCGAGAAATATAAAAATCCATCACTTAGTTTGACTTGCGTTGCAAGTTCGCTGCATAAGAGAAAAATGATTAAAGGATAAACCCATCCAGACTTTGATTGCCAATCCGCAGTGTCTTATGATGATTATTTCTGTGGAGAATAAAGCTTTCCAACCGGAGATAATTCGAATTACTTTTCTTTCTTTTGTTCTTTTTAAATGTCAACAAGTTCTTTGTCGTACTCTGCTGGAAAGTCCGTGACATCAACACAAAAGCACTTCGACCCCGCCGCCGCCCGCGCTCACACGCCCTGCCCTCGCTTCGCGGCGCCGTTCCTCGTCTTCTTCTTCTGCAAGTGGTCCTTGAGTTTCCGGATCTGTCTCACAGTAGCATACACCTTCGGGCAGTGCCTCTTGGAAGTCCTGTCCACGACCGAGCCGTCTCCCGGGTGCAGGGGGGCCCCTCGGCTGAACTTGTTCCACAGGTGGATTCCGACGGTGTCGTGGGGCCACGTCCAAGTGGTGCTTCCACCGGAGACGAACAGCTCTTCCCAGCGCTTCCAGTGGAGAGGGTAGAAGGTGGCGGGGGCTGTGGAGTACCACAGATATGTGAGATACAGTAAAGGTAGGGTTACTTATAAAGTCACTTATGTTAGATTAATTTAATCGTACCATGCGTGAGTGAATTGGAATATACTGATATTAAGTCTACTCGCCTATATGTAACCCAGCCCTGATAACAGTCAGCCCTCCTAAGGCAGATATATCACCCATACTTTTCCCTCTTCCTTTGTCTCCCTGCTACCTGTCTGTTGTCTGCTTCTGTGCTTGGTCGCCACCTGATGAATCATAATTCGCTTGTTCCCACTGAAACTGTCTGTCGCTGCCCCGCTTTTATACTCCATACCTATCAGGAAACAGGTCTACTGTACCTTCAAAGTGAACTCGTTACACAACCTCGCTCACCTTTGCGCGTAAAACCCCATTTCTCGTCTTTTAGTGACAACTAAAACACACGACTTGCTTCTTACAGACAAGTGAACTTTATTCGTACAGGGCTTGTACTTTGCGTAGATAAGCGAGCCACACTGCTTCCTAATAGACCTGGTCTCTAATTCTCCTACAGTACGTAAGCCCCCAAAGTCTCGCCCTCATGTTCTATTGATAACTGTCAAAGTTCCTCACAGTTTACGAGCTTTCCTCAAGACACCAATGACACTGCAGCTGACTTGCCTCTTCATGACTACTGTCCACAGTTAAAGACGCCAGTTTTCATCGTCTATGAATAGATGTAACAGCCATACACTTGCTTAGAAAAATCTGTGAGTTGTCCACTTCGTTTATGGTATCTAATCACAAGTTAAAATAAGGAAACCTAAAGCTTTCCCCACCCACTGGCAGATCAGATACAAGACTGTGACCTATGGCGGCAGTTTCACTCAGTCATATAGTACAATGGGCCTCTCGCAGTCGCTATAACGGTCGATGCCCACTCTCGCCCCCGCCCTTTTGAAACCGTGCATGATAGTTCGCCTTCCTACTGAAGAGGTGACGAATAACTCTGTACTTTGTAAAGTATTTGTAATCAACTCTTAAAACTACTAGTTTATCTAACTACCTTCGTTTACAATGTCACACAATACTCACGAACACATTCTCGCTCCACCTCCCCTGCCTGCTCTTTCTCCTCCTCTTTCCCCTTCTTCTCTTCCCTTCTCATTCTCGTTCTTTCCTCCCTCTCACTCACCCAGAATAACAAGGTCTTTGCACTGGTGAAAATCTGTCAGGTTGTCGACTTTGCAGTTGTTCTTGACGACCCTCTGGAAGACCCCGGGACCGTTGTGACCCCACACATTGCCCTTGAAGTTTTCTGTGAGCTCTATGGTCGCGTCCTTGCACAACCAGTGGTCCTTCGGGATCCTGCAGGAGAAAGACAGAAAGACAGTCGGAGAAAAGTTAATGTGTATGAATATGTTTGGTTTGAAGATCGTTTTACTTGTTCGGATATATATACCATACCAGAAATGCAGCTGTAAAGATTATCCCTTCAGTATATGACCCCAAAGCAAAGTTAAGAACACAACTGCGTGAGGTATAGAGGTATAATAAGTATCCGACAAATATATTGACTAAACACCTTCCTTTCATATTTAATTTTTATATCTGCTTAAGCACGACACAATAGAATCTCTCTATCTCTCTCTCTCTCTCTCTCTCTCTCTCTCTCTCTCTCTCTCTCTCTCTCTCTCTCTCTCTCTCTCTCTCTCTTTCTCTCTCTCTCTCTCTCGTTCTCTCTCTCTCTCTGTCTCTCTCTCTGTCTCTCTCTCTCTCTCTCTCTCTCTCTGGCTCTGGTTCCCTCTCCCTCTCTCCACCCCCTCTCTTTGTCCCTCCTTTCTTTTTCTCCCTCTCCTTCTAACTCTCCCACTTCTTCTCCTTCTCCCACTCTCTTTCTCTTTCTCGCCCCCCCCCCTACTCTTCTTCTCCTTCTCATTCTCATTCTCCTTCCCCCTTCCCCCTCCCCCTCTCCTTCTTCTCCCCCCCTCTCTCCCTCTCCCTCTTGAAGGAGAGAGACAGCTTGCAGATATTATGCTAATAGTTACGGAACTCCAGTCATTACAATTCATCGGTTTAGAAACTCTGAACCGGACAGCAAAGTTGATTCTGCGACTATCGCTTGCGAATTATGTTAATGTAAACTGTTCTCTCTGTCTTGCTCTCTGTCTCTGTTTCTCTTTCTTTCTCTCTCTCTCTCTCTCTCTCTCTCTCTCTCTCTCTCTCTCTCTCTCTCTCTCTCTCTCTCTCTCTCTCTCTCTCTCTCGCTCTCTCTCTCGCTCTCTCTCTCGCTCTCTCTCTCGCTCTCTCTCTCGCTCTCTCTCTCGCTCTCTCTCTCGCTCTCTCTCTCGCTCTCTCTCTCTCTCTCTCTCTCTCTCTCTCTCTCTCTCTCATCATCATCATCATTATCATTATTATCATTATTACTCTTACTATTTCTATTATTATTATCGTCATTATTATCATTATTATTATCATTATTACTCTTACTAGTTCTATTATTATTATCGTCATCATTATCATTATTAATATCATTATTATTATCATTATCACTGTTTTCATTATTAATGAGTATGCCTGTGTAAAAAATAAAAATCGTCTGTGCAGCTATCCATAGCTTCTTTTCCTTCTCCTCATCCTCATCATCATTATTAACAATATCATCACCATCATTATGATCGTCATTATCATTACCATCAACATCCTCATTACCATCACCTCGATCTTCATGCTCACGTAGATCGTGCTACTACTTTTATAATCATTATCATAATCAGTAATACCCTCATCATCATCGTCCTCTTCCGTACCATCTTTATCCTTATCTCCATCATCCCCTTGCATAAAATTCCTCTTCACTCGCCCTTTATGAATACCTAATGAAAATTTACATATAAAGGCACCACTACAAGCAGCAAGTTATGCAATCGTACCCAATAAGATTTACAAGAAAGAGCAAAAAAACATGAAGGGTTAGATAATAGTTGTGCCAACGAAAAGGGAAACAAGCAATAAAGGTAAAAACATTGTTTTACAAAACGATACAAAACAGTGATAACAGCTTAAATACCCACTGTAACATATAAAAGATCTTTAAGAAAGATACGCAGCCAATGAGCATGAGCAGACAAAGAATGATCATCGGACAAAGACATAGGGCAAAAGGAGGTCCCCCTTTGCAATATGACGTTACACGCTGACCACCTATTGGCATATAAACGGAGAGTGTGATAGAACGACGTCAAAGCTGTCTCCAGTAAAGATGGAGGGTGAGGAAATAGAGAAGATAAGGAAACTTAATACTCTCTATCTGAGTAGATAGAGAGTAAGGAAAGGGAGATGTGGAAACATAATACAGTAGAATCAATCTCATAACATTGTGGATTTAATAAAGATTATCAAATAAAAATATATAAGTAAGACAAGCCTTGTATTTACAATAAATTAGAATCATTCAGTTGCGTTTTTTTACCGGAAGGCGCCGTTGGAGAGCTGGTCCCAGCGCTCGCGGCCGATCCAGACGTCGCTGGGCGGCAGAGACGCCACCGTCCACATGTCGAGGTCCAGGTAGGTCCCGCCCACCGAGCACACGACGCCCAGCCTCAGCGCGTCCGACAGATTAATGGCCGCCCAATCTAGGAGGGAGGAGTCCGTTTCGCTACTTGTGAGTGTCGATGATGGTGGT